ATCATAAACACCATGACTGAACATCTGAAAGATTAATAGTTCACAAGAAGGTTTGTAACAGGTCTGTAATCTTGCTAGTAAATGAACTTACCTTCGATAGAGCGGTTCGATCGTTACATGAATAAGATGACACAGAGCTATGGCAATCGATTTGTGAGAGGTGCCATAAAACGGAGGCATTTGATCCATAATGTTCTGCGCGTGCTGCCAGTCTCCAATTTTTAACAGTGCTTCTAATAAGCCAAGCTTCTGGTTGTCTGGAGGCTAGAAACATATTAGCAGTAATTACTAAAAAGTAATCCCATCTATCTTCATGGCCCGATGTTACTGAAATCATTTCATTTAATGCATGTAAAAGGAATTCCATCTTCCAATAAAACAAATGGATAAATATACTCACAATATTTCTTTACTGTGTATACAGCACATTTATTCCCTTTGGCATGCTTTTTCAATATACTTATCACAGCATTGGAAAGCCAGAGCAATTTAACTAAACAAACCATTTCCTTTGCAATAATGGAGAAGGAATTAAATTAAAGCTTATTTATTTATTTTCAGAGTGGCCCTTTACTTTTGACGTCAATCAAAAAATATGTAGGCCATAAAAGTTTTACATAAAAATTTACAGTAAAATTACAAGTTGAAATAATAAAAACTGAAACTCAAGTGATACCAAGCAATTTTGACATTTACTCATTATACATAGAAAGTCTAAGCTATTTTCTTAGAACTGTGCACAATATATGAATTTTTATTTGCAAGACTATGAGTATGTGTATAGCAGTTTTTTAATTTGCTATAATTCAGAGTTTAGTGAATAAAAGTGTGTGTGTGTGTGTGTGTGTGTATATATATATATATACACACTAAACTCTAAATTATAGCAAATTTAAAAATGCAATACACACACACACGGTCTTGCAAATAAAAAAAACATTTTTTATTCCATTGTTTGCAAAAGTACAATCAACATTTTAGCCCTTATCAGGGACTTTCTTCATGATAAATACAAATCTTATCCTGATGAAAGACCCAGACGAGGACTGAAACATTGATTGTACTTTTACCCATTTTTATTTGCAAGACAATGAGTGCAGCCATTTAAATATGATGATGGATATCTATTGGTCTTGCCTAAGGCACCTGGCGATAAAAGCCATTCAGCCTGTGTGCTGGGAATATATTTAAAATGGAATAATGAATCAAAAAAGGTAATTCTTTGTTGAACTAATTTGCATATGCCTACCCAGAATCCCTTGTGATTGTAACATTACTACAAATTTGAGATTTCTGCAAATCTTATGGCTTGACTGGTGTGTGTGCAGGTATGTTTTGGCATTATGTCGGGCCTCCTTTTTGTATAAAAATGATTTAAGTGATTTTGTATTAAAAAAAAAAATTACAATATGTAAGCAAAGAAAACTATATTCTAATAAAATAAATATTAGGTAACAGTTAACTGTAAAAGGTTAGCAAATGGCAAATTGGTAGCAGGAATTAGGCATGTTTAAAAAATAAAATTCTCTGTAAACTGATAATTTCACTGATGAGCAGAATCAAATCACACTGCTGAAACAATAAAGCCTGAATTAGGATTTTGATTCTGCTCATTTGAGCCATCTCTGGAGTACAGTTTCACATTTTTATTTACATCCAGATTCCACAGCGCTAAATTAAACAAAGCATAAAATGATACCAAGCAGTATACTTTGAAACTAGTTTCAAATCATTCAACTTTCCTGGATCTGCCAGGTGCACTTAGGCCATGCAGGGTGATAAAGGAAGGTTCTGAAGGCTCCAGGATATCATTTTGCCAACAGATTAATTTTTAAGTGTATAAATTTCATGCATATATTTGTCAGGTACCTCAATGAATACATTACAATATCATATGTAAACTAATCAACTATTTTTATTGGATTTTTTGTATTTTTATTTTAAAGGGGAAAAAAACGATTCCCGCTTAATCCCTTTGCCCCTATCTGTAATTGCTATATTTCTTATATCTTTTTGACTAGTAACAGTAGATCTCTAAAAAAAAAAAAAAAATATCATCACAATTGTCTATATAATAGCATGTGGTTGCATGGGCGCTACTAACTGTGTGTGAGAAGGTTCACATGGACCCAGCGCACGACGGCTGAGAAGCTCATTCATTAAAGAAGGGGGGGGTGGGAGGGGGAGATTAAAAAAATAAATAAAGCCAAAAGTTTATAGGCTCCTAGTCATTAGCTAATTCTTGATGAAGGTAGGTAGAACATTTACACAGAACATAAAAAACAAGACAAGGAGGTGTTCTCCCTTGAACATGAATGTCTACAGCAGATCTCACTTTGTAGATCTTTTCATACATGAATAATAAGAAGCCTTGTTTGGTGTGCTGCTTGGGAGAAGAAGATGCCTGTAGCTATTGAGAGTGACGGCTGGTGGGAAATGGCTGACAATTGCAACACTTGTTCATGAGAAAATGTAGTTCCTACTTTCCAATATAGTCTACTACCGTTCCATCATTCTTTGGTTTAGATACACCAATACACTGACCTGGGACATCCTCCCAGTGGACAGGTTCTACATGGATCTTTTTTTCACAAACTTGATATGTGTATTTTTTTTGCCTGCAGTCTGTATGACAGATCATTGCTTTCAGCAGGGAATACAACACTGAGAGCAGTGAAAGATATTGTCTCTAAAAGTTCCTTACCTTTTCAGCTTTTTCTTCATCCTTGTCTTTGTCCTTCTCCTTCTCATCAGATTTATCGGATGATAGAATTACTAACGTTAGCTTTCGAACAAGCTGTTTAGCTTCTAGAACTTCCTTCTTGTGTTCTTCAAAGATAGTGCTGTCTAGAGGCAGTAGCTACACAGCAACAAACATTTAATGTCCTTGTCATCATTTCATCAAACATGCACACCTTGCAGCTTACAAAATGTAATACCACACATAACGAGACGCTAGATTGTATGGAGGATTCTTTGCTTCACTAAGAGCACTTTTTGATTGAAAAAAAATATTAGCCTAAGATCAATTTGAAGCAAGGGAAGCATGGCTAGCATATAATAAAACGGCAATTTTGTGTGTAGATTGCTTTTCAGACAAACGAAAAACCATTTCGTAAATTTGCAAGATGTTTTAAATTTGACTACTTATTTGTACAACCTTTATAAAATACTTGGGAAATGAATTGCTTTAGACAGTATACAATGTTCTACAAGGTCTTAATGGTTATCAAACAAACAAAAAAAACACCTTCAGTAGGAGTGACCCAAAAAAAAAAAAAAAACAGAAATATAAATGGTCAAATACTTTGCTTTTAGGTATTTGTAAATACCTAAAGGCATAACTAACAGCATTGCTTTTTCAAAGCGACAACATTAATGTAAAAAGAATGTGAGCATATTGTCCACATACAGTAGACTTAAATTATACATTTCTAAAATAAATGTATTTAAAAACGGTTACAGCAATGTTTTCAATCTCTGGAATACTAAACCAGTGCTAACAGCAAGATGGTAGACTAAATTAACTCATCCCCCCTCCCAGACTCTAAGAATGATATGACCCATTAAAAATCCCTTTATTATTTGGAAACTAGGGTTGAGCTTATATTCTTATCAAGTTAGTGATTAGTGGCTTATGGCAAAGGAATTTGTTCCATTACAGGTTGCTAATCATTCCTAAATATAAACGAGGGTGAGTGAGGCTTTATGGGCTAAATACATGAGAGAGAAAAAAGATAAAAAAAAGGTGTATACTCAATTCTAGGAGCAAAATGGTTAAGACATGTACATTGAAAGCACCATGGTACACATTTCCAGGTAAACAATATAATAAATATAAAATATATTACAACAATGTGTTTACTAAAAACTGGAAATAATGCAAGCATTGTGCAGTGAGTGCCTCTGTTATGTTAAAGCAAATAGAAATAATTTAAGTCTTTGAGCTGAAGTAATGTCTGGCAAGCTAAGGACCTCTGCTGTCTGAAATATTAACAAAGCTGGACACTACAGAAATAAAATGCAGGGGATGGTTAGCTTGAAGTCTGTTGCATGCATTTTACGCTAAAGAAGGTGAAAGATAAACAAAAGCACTTACATGTACATATAGATCCTCCAATTCAATTAGAGTTTGCTGTAAAAGAACAGCTGCAACTCTGTACAAAGATGAGGGAGTCTCCCCATTAGGCTCCTGTAACATAAAACATTGTTATGTTAATGTTATTCAAAAACATGTAATTTTAAAAACTTTTTTTTTTGCATTTTAAATAATTTATTTTTTTATTCTTAAGACATTTAAAGTGGGATTGTCATTTTTCTGGAGATGATGTTTGGTTTTGTTCAGTCAAGAAAACAAATATTTATTGGTGTTACGTGAGCAGTAGAATCATAAACAAACCTAATTCTGTAATACACTAATGGATTATAGGCTCACTACATTATCAAGATGCTCTAAGTATACAATAGCATCCTCACAAACATCTTCCTATAGAACCCTGCATGAATGCAATCACTATGTCTTGCTCACACAGTCAACTTAAAGGACCAATACAGTGCAAGGAAAACAAACTCGTTTTCCTGGCACTATAGGATCTTTATGTCTCCTCCACCCTCAAAGTCCCACTGCCACTGAGCTGAGGGGTTAAACCCCTTCAGCCACTTGCCTTTCTCCAGCGCCGGGCTCCCTCGGCGCTGGGGAACTCTCCTCCTCCTGCCAACGTCAGCGCCGAATGCGCATGCGCGGCAAGATCCGCGCGCGCATTCAAACTGCCCATAGGAAAGCATTTCTCAATGCATTTCCTATGGGCAGTTTCTCAATGCTTTCCTATGGACATCCAGCGTTTTCTCACTGTGACTTTCACAGTGAGAATCGCGAAAGCGCCTCTAGCGGCTGTTAGTGAGACAGTCACTAGAGGCTGGATTAACCCTCAGTGAAACATAGCAGTTTCTCTGAAATGGGAGGGTTAACACTAGAGCAGGGGTCCTCAAACTGCGGCCCTCCAGATGTTGCTGAACTACAACTCCCATGATTCTTTGAATTACATAGATAGCCAGAGAATCATGGGGGTTGTAGTTCAGAAAAATCTGGGGGGCCGGAGTTTGAGGACCCCTGCACTAGAGGGACCTGGCACCCAGACCACTTCATTGAGCTGAAGTGGTCTGGGTGCCTATAGTGGTCCTTTAACCCCTTAAGGACACATGACGTGTGACATGTCATGATTCCCTTTTATTCCAGAAGTTTGGTCCTTAAGGGGTTAAAGTGAACCTCTCATGACAGATATAGGTTTGCAGTTTTTTAACAATTTGGCTTGACTCATGTTAAGTGTTTCTTCCCTTCATTCTATTAAAAGCTCATATTTTAATTTCCACTGTCTATTGGTGAGAGCATTAAGTATTGTTCTGAGTGGGTGCTGCACACCGTCTTTCCTGCACATCCCTGTTTGGGAAGCACAGACTTGCTTCCCATAACAAGCTTAAACGTTATCTATACATTATGTCTGCTTTGAGATACGTAGATAAAACTTATTTTGTCTCACACTCACTCCTGTTGCATTAATCATTCTGACCCTCCTCCATAATTTACCTTTGCAGGCAATACTTTCCCATAGGCTGAAGGCACACAGGAGACACCAAGAGTAGGGTTTTCCTAATAACAGACATGCAAAGCCTTCTTATCTCTGTGCCTATTGGCACAAACCAAAATGACCGGGAAAGAGTAATTTTTTGAACCTCTGATTTTAGATCAAGCTAAATGAATAGATGCAATTTGATTATCTATCATTTAAAATCATGTTGTATTTAAAGGAACTCCCCATAACCACTTTTATTCACTAGAACATAGATTACAGTACAACAAGCTCTGTCATTCATTTCCAAAAACAAGGGTCTGGAGTGTCCCTTGAACGTCTCACACGTAGTCACTCTTATTTCTTTGTGTTTTGTAGCTGATTCTACTGCCCATTTAATGCCTGATGAGCTTCCCCTCTAAAAATGCAGATCTTGTCCCTTGGACCCACCCGCACCCCTTAAGGGTTTGCCTTGCTAAAGCACAAAAAAAAATAAAAAAAAAATAAAACATTTCAAGAGCTTTATAGACAGTTCAAATGATGTACTGTCTTACCTGGTAAAATTTGAATTTGAAACCAAGGATATGACACAGCGTTTGAGGTTCACACATGCCCATATAAGATTCTATTAATGGTACAAAAAAGTCATCCTGTTCAGGTCGGCATTCATAAACTTCTAAGATGATATCCAGAACTCTGTTTGGATCCAGATTGAAGCATCCTAAATAGAACACATGTAATTTTAGCATGAAACAATGCTTGAAACACACCTTGAGGAAGTAGAATCCCCCCCCCTCCAAAAAAAAAAAACATTATAGAACAGTCTGACTTTCATTACAAAAAATGTATGCTTCTTTCTACTTACATCAGTAATGTTACAATAAGTTACCGTATACGTTTAGAGACACATTTTTTTTCTTTGTCCTTTTGACTAAGTAAACCATTTTTTATTTGCACACTACATTGTGATGCTGGTGGGCTTCTGACACCACCACAGTGCTTCACTGTACACCCCTTGTGTGCAGCACTCCACTCACATTTTGAATTAAGCTTGAACGATTATAAAAAAAAGAAGGTAATTTTAAAAAGAATCTGCCAATTAAAATACACATGATAACACCTTAAGATAAGGAAATTGCATCACTACAGGCTTGCCAAACTGCCAGAATTTCTATATCTAACACATGTAATGATGACATATACAGCATTTCTAGATATAATGATGGAGATCCCCCTCTGACATTTACCAGTGTGTACTGTCTGAGCACAATCCAGGCAGTAAGTACAGATGGTTTGATCTATACCTGTACTGGTCATTTGGAGAATATTTTATTATTAAACTGAATGGAACTATGTCACAGTAAGAAAGCTGAAAGGGACTTTGTTATGGTGGGGTACAGGTTTATTTTAATTGTGTGTCCTATAAGTCAGGTCTGTCACACACAGAAAGAAAACAGATTTGGACATTAAAAAGCAGTGCTCAAATTGTAGCAAATGTAAAACTGAATAAATTCTGTCGCTTCACTTCGTAGTGTCAGCCTTCTTAGCTGACATACATCTACACACAACAGCTTTGTCAATTTGTAAGAACATTGGATGGAAACCTGTGCTATATGCAATCCCAGAATGCATCTTAAATGGTGTTGGGTCTATCGTGGCTGCATGTTCAGCTTATACACACTCAAATTCAGCTGACAATGTAATAAAATCTACATACGATCTGGAAATTTAGGAAGCACAATGTAAACACTGAATCCCTCAAGGGTGGATTGACAAGCCATCTTTAAAAGAAGACTAATGAGCATGCTCGGATTTAAAGTGCATGCAATGTAAGTCAAACTGGGCTTGTAACAAAACCTTCTGAACTGAATAGCAGCTAATGCCATAACTTAGTTCTGCAACAAGCAAAATGTATTGCTGTAACCCATTTTAATCTGACACTAGTAAAAACAAAACAGATGTAAGCTACCCCATAAATATAATCGCTACCAGTTCAGCACATGCAATTAAAGAAAGAGAAGGTCGTTGAAAAAAAATAATCGGGCACACAAGATTCAACTATTCCTGTATTCACATCTGTTATAGACTTAAATTTTAAACATTCCTACAAAAACAGCAGTTTTTTTTAAATTAAATATAGATTTATATAGCGTTTATTTTTCCTCAACCATTACCCAACCAGTCCACGTTGCACCATTTCACTACATTACATCGGACCCATTCAGTTTTCAAGTGAACTACATAACACACTCTTTACACAAAATACAGACCAAAGGGCTGAAGCAGAGATAAGTCAAAGTCCACAGCAGGAGTATTCTCTATAACCTGCCTTTTCCTTCTCTTATCCAATGAAACATGCATCAAACAAGACTAATAACTTCCCACAACATAAGTGCTCATTATTTCAAATAATGAACGATTAGATCAGCAAGATACTGTTTCATCAAAATATTCAAAATGACAATTGATGTGATATGAATCATATCTTTATTGTCTATGGGGAAAACTCCTTCAGTACTTAAAAGGAACACTCCGTTTTAAAAAGCTTATAGGAAACCCATAATTAGGCATTCCCTAGCAAAGATAAAAAAAAAGTTTGTTGTAGGGAAGAAGGGTGGGCTGCGATGGCCATGGACCCAGGCCGACAGGGGAGATCAGTGTATCTCCCCTGCCGGGCCATGCAGTGCCAGCGCTATCAGAGCGTCGGCCCTGCTGTGTGCCTTCATGGGCCAGTGGGGAGACAAACTCTCCCCCCACCGACACTGAGATGCAGCCGGGGGAAGGACTGGGAGGATGTGGCCGGGCGAGGTAGGGAGAGAGGACCCGGTGGAGCTCTATCCTGCAGCTCCGCAGGGTTCCTCTCACGAGGTCGGAGCGTTGCCGCGGTTATTATGGCAACGCTCCAATCTCGCAAGAGTGAACTCTACCCCAGGAATTACAGGGTACACTGTACACTGGACCACCAGGGATTTCACACTGGACCACCAGGCATGTTAATAAATTTGCTTGCCCTACATAGAACAAATACAGGGGCTTTTTTTCATGCAAGCGCTCTTCAGCAGGGCTCTGCGGATTGAACCAACCTGCTCACTTTGAGAGGGGGCATGCTTATCATTGGAGATGACAAAACACCTCCCCTCTCTGGCCCGCTCCCTTCTCAGTGGGCCACAGTGGTTCAAAAATGCCAAGGTCGAATTTTTTTCCCCAGTCTGCAGAGACCAGAACTGCAATTATTGAAAGCCAAGATTTCAAAAGAATTACATGCATCTACTAAGTTTTGAAATGGAGTGTTCCTATTATTGGCCCACCTTGCGAAGGACTGATTAGATGCGAATAGCTTTTTAGCTGCAAAAGACATAGGGTGAGCAACTATTTAGAAGGGTTCTCTGCAAATATCAAAGCAAAACCCTGCCATGTGGTGAAACTTCCTTTTCAATGGTAGGACAATGACAAAATGTAGGCACACTACCTCTTGTGTGACAGAGGCAATGAACACCATTAGATAAAAGGGCAGTTCTAAACGCAGAACCATCTTGTCTTAATGGAAAGCATTATACAGATACGGGGAAGGTAATGCTTGTAATTGTTGTACATTTGTTAGCAGTTATAGCAACAGAGAAGACTGTTTTGAGTGTTAAATGTTTCAGAAGGCATTTGTCTTGAGGTTTCAATGGAGTATTTAGTAAGGCATTCATAGATCAGATTCAGATCCTAATAAGTAATTATATTCTGAACAGGAGAATGAGTATTAACAGTTGCTTTACAGAAATATCTGATCAAAAGATCCAAAGCCAAATCTTCACAAAGAAAAGCACTTTCAAAAGGTGAGGGACTCAAATCTTTGAAAAAGCAGTGTTTACATTAAAAGGCCAACAGGGACAGGCTATAGACACAAGAACCACTAAATTAAGCTTTAGTGGTTCTTGTGACTATAATGTCCCTTTAAGACCAATTCCAGGGATGTGCACAGATAGCTATTTAATGGTTAAATACCGTTGCTAAGATCAAGTGCCTCAGTGCGTGAATCTCTCATAACAACTACTTCAACAGAATGTAGCCATACAATATGAGCTATAGCAACGGAGGTTTCAGCATAGCAACTAGGATTTTATGGAACAGATTGTAATATTTAAAAGTTTATGAGTTAAATAGGGTTTAATGGGAAAACAAATATTAGGGTATAATTCCTTGAAAACATACACTAGCGACAAGATTTAATCTAAGAAATTACAAAAACTTTACAGATATTGTCCATGCTGCTTAACAAACCAGGGGAGAAAAAAACACCAATATCTTGAAGCATATAAAAGTAAACTGTAATAAATTCCACTCATTACATTCCTTACCAATTAAGGATTTTATGTTTTCCAGGATTAAAGCACTTGTTATGCTTCCAGATATATCCTGTCCAAGCTCAGCAATCAGCTTGGCATAGCCTTCATTTTCTTCTCGCAATAAATTGAATTTCTGTTGTTTATAACTGCAATTGGAATAACAAAGGTTTAAACACAACTTGAAAGAG